GGTTGATTGACGTGTATAATCTGCAATCAACGAACATAAGATCCGTGTATCTTATATATCCGCCCTATTCATAATCTACTACACAAATAGTTCTTCAAGAAGTTAAATTCAGGCAATAAGTTAAAAGAGTGAAAATTAACGATGAAAATTTATTTTAAATTGAAATGTGTGTATATTAAATCAATTATGTCATCATTTATTCAATTTATTTTTCGTTAAATATATAATTAGTATTTTTATAACTATAATATATTTTTATCTTGTAGTAATTTTATAAATCTGTTCCATCTGTAAATATAATTGTAAGGAAATAAAAATAATTTTTAACTAAACTAAAATTTACATTCTCTATTAAATAAGTCCTTACTCTCTAACATTTAAGTTATATTATAATTTAATTATAATTATTTTTCATACATTTTTATTAATCACTTTGATAATTAGAGTAAAATTAAGGATAAGATATCAAATTTATTTTTTAATTTGAAAAAATATTATAATTTATATATTTTGGAAACTTAATAACGAAAATATCTTTTATCAAATTTCATATAAACAAACTAAAAAATATATATATATAAAATACTTTTTGCAGATATCTCGAAAATTATACGATTGAATAGCAATTACACGTATAAAAATATCTTCTATTATAGGTATTTAATTATCTATTAGATAATTATCATTATCTACATCCACGCATTCTAAAAATAAAATCAATACTTTTTCTTTCGTCAAATTTAACATTTTCTAATTCCAAATATTACTTAGTAATATTTTTCAAATTCAATTCTGAACAAATAGAAGATTCTTCACTGTCCCAAAGCAAAGTTCAGTCATTTATCAAACTTCAAATTTAGTTGAGTCACAGTTAAAAAGAAAAAGAACTGTAATTGATCGACGATACGAAAAAAAAAAACACACACACAACCACATTGTGTCAAATTCGTTGTTGTTCGTTTCAAATATGTATATAACAAAATCGAATCATCGCGATCGTTGCCCACGCGCGTACGTTTTTCGTGAAAATTTTTTTTTTTATTTTATTTTCATTTTGCCAAGATATTAGACCAATTCACTGGAAATAATCGTGCTCGCTATTTGACGAGCTGAATTTATAAATAGCATTGGAGGAGGTCGCTGGATAATGGTGTGGGATACAGATATCACACCAACTGTTAGTTATCAAAATGACGTAAACATAAGTGCATCATCATTATGCTGTAATTATTATGGATAAGATTATATTTAATAGATACGTTACGCAGTTTCATTTATCGATACGGATGATAATTACTTCTCCGTTTTAATTATCTATTTTTTTCATATGACGAAATTAGTGAATTTTGATTATCTGTAAAAAAAAAAAATTGTAATCTGAAAATTAATCTTATATATTAAGCGTTATAAAGAATAAAAATTTTTAGATTTAAGTAATAAAATCTCTGTTATATTGAATTCTTTGGTTTCAATCCTGATTGTTCTCTTATCAAATATTTTAGTAATTTTCTTTATATCTGCTTTATTTATTTGTTCCGTGCAAGATATAATCTTTGTTCATAGCGATTCAGTATAATTGATGGATATATGTAATTGAGGAAAAGTGATATCTGTGAAATTATTGCAATGTTACACGAACACGTTGACACAAAAAGTATGATAAGTCTAATAGAATAATTTATAATATTGTTAATCTAATTGATAATATTATTTGAATTAAAAATAAGCATTTTCTTTTATATGCTCGTCATTGTACATAATACACATTATTTGTTTATTACAAAATTTAATTCAAAGTAATTTTAAATTTAAAAAAAAACGTAACAAATTTTCAATTTGTTCATCAGTAATTAAGAACGATTTATTTCATGCATCAAATTTCAATAAAAATCCGCCTTTAAGTTATGAATATATGATAGCTCATGAGTAATTCGCAGCACCTTCATAAAGCTCCCCTTTATCACGATTCTCTTCAATGCAAATCTTCGCGGAGCTAACGGCAATGGATCGCGCAATGTGTAGGATACAAGTGACAAGGTAATGGCGACGTTCGTGTAATTTAGCGTCTATTACGTTTAATACTGAACAAAGATGAATGGCAGCTCTTATTTTAAAACGAATTGAAAGTCACGTTAGAACACGAGAATGATTCCGTGGAATAAAATGGGAAGCGACAGTAAGGAGACAAAGTAACCGTGCACAGTCTCAATCTAGAGGGCGTATTAACATTAGAATTACCAACCTATGATATGTACCTAAGTGTATTACACATATGATTGTGAAAATAACTAGATATAACTCTAGGATATTCCATGTTACGTTTCAATGTTTAGCTAAGAATATTTATGCACAAATGATATAAATAAAATTAAAATATTATTGTTATTTATATTTAACATATTATTTACATTCGTGATTAGATATTTAATAATAATTATGCATAGAATACTATTTTGAAAATCAAATATATAGAATGTTCTATGTAACTGTCAATTTGTTTATGTTTGTTTCATATTATTTATATTTATATTATGTATTTAAGAATAAATATGTTATGCACGGATTACTAAAATTAAACTATTGTGAAAATAATTAAAGAAATAGAGCATTCCATATAATTAAGATTTACTTTCTTTTTGTTATTATCTATTATGTTGTACTTAATAATATTATGCACCGATTATTAAAGTTAAATTATCGTGAAAATAATTAGATATATATGGGATGTTTTAATAAATATAATTATCTACGTTTATTTATGATTTATCTTTCTTTTATCTTCGTTTTGTATTACCTATATTTGTTGAGTATAAATATATTATATGTACAAATGAAATAAATAAAATTGTATGGTGAAAATAAATAAATATATAGGGTGTCTTATTATTAATTTTCGCTACGATTCTCGCTTATGTATTTAATAACAATAAATATATTGTGACACATATAAATATATCGCTATTATGAAAATTTAAAAAATAGATATATTGGATATTCTATATAATTATCGTTATGATTTATTTTCTTTTCGATAAGTCAGGTTCATTTTTGGAATATTTTTTTAACTTTTTATTATATAAGCACTAGACAGTTTTCGAGATATATACTCAAAAATATTTTTCACATCATATATTATTATGCATATGTTTTGGCATAGTTCTGAGATATTATAAGCTCTGACATACTATAGGGATTGTAGTCTGGCATTTTAGTCTAGCCAAATTTGTGCCAGTTCATTGAAAATACTCTGTATCTCAGATCATTTTACAACAAGATACTACTTAATTTTTTTACTCGAGCTAATTAAAATTGAGTCCATCATCTATGACAAATCTTCTTAAAATTCTTTATATCAAAATAATAAAAAAAATTGGTTAAACCTCAATGATCTTGATTCTTCTTATTATTATATGTGTTATACAATCTATTTTAACTTAGTATGAGATTATCATTGTGTCCAAGATTTAATGTAACACGTGTTGAGCTTGTTTTAGATTGTATGTTTGCTATTATACTGTACAACAATAAATTTCTTTATATTGAATTAAAAATCTAACATAAATCTTATCCCTTTAAAAATTTTTGCTAATTATTCGTTTATTTTTACTAATATTTTTAATGTTTAATAAATTCATAATTCATTTATATGTTCATAAGAATTTTTGAATTTTTCTAAAAAAAATTATATTCTTTTTTGAATTGTATTCATTAGATTTATTATACAAACGATTCAAAATGAATATATTTGTTTTTTCCATTTGTACAATATATTTCAAAATCATATACCATCAAATTGACTGATTTCAGATTTTTACAATTATTAATCTTAAATTTATTGTATAATTTTCTGTTCGTAATTATTAAAAATGCGCTTTTGACAAAATTAATATCAAATTTTTATCCAAATAGAAACATATATATTTAATTATATTCGTTATTTTATATAAGATATTTGTTTTTCGTTATTTTTTATTCAAATATATAAACGTATATTATTTTCATTTTATCTATAATTATTTTCATAATGATCAACTTTCAATCATTCGTCTATATATAAATACATTAATTCTTGAAGAAAATCGAGAAATTTCTCGATAAGTTCACCAATTAGTAATCGATTTATACGATCGATCACACGCATATATGTATACATTCAATATGCTGCCACCCTCTTGGTACCACTCTATGGAAACATATGTGGCCTTGTAATAAGAAGGCCTTATAATTGAATTCGCATAAATTATTTATTTCTCTTATAATTGATCTCAATTTTATAAACTTTTTGAAATTCAGCATAGAATAAATAATATTACACCATATATAATTATTTTCGCAAAATTCATTTGTGAAATAAATAATAAATTTTAGTATTAAAAAATATTATATCTATCGATGCTAATTAATATCTATTTAATTTCTTATTCGAGGCAGATCTCATGGTTAGAAATAAAATTTGAGAGACATTAAAATAAGTCTTATCGTGTAAAATAATGTTTTATAAAATAATATAATCACCAAAGATTTATTTGTTAACGATATAAATGATCCATTATTATTATTATATTTTTACATTATTATATTAATCTGCTACGTGATCTTTGGTCATGACAAATTATAAAATAAGTCATGTAACATAAAGGTATATAACATATAAGTATAATCATTTAAGAGGTTAAACGTGTACATTATCGTGTAATAGTTGGAATTAACATTTAATTCAATTTTTCAAGGTGAAAATACTTCTCAAATGTTAATACGAATTTTCTTATTTCCTTATAATAAAAAGAATAAAAAATTAGAAATCATTAGAATAAAAATTTAATAGTTTTCTGCTGTATGAAATTATTTAAATTATTGAAGTTTATAACCTCTAAATCTCTATGGTTATTAATTACGTAATTTTATATCAATTGTACTATTTCTCTTCCAAAAATATTAAATAAATATATAATAATTTTAATGCAATTGATAATGCAATAGATTATTCTTTCTCGTTACAGTTTCTTCAAAATTTGGGCAAAGTGGATAGAACCGCAGATGACATATTCGACGAACATTTGCAGAATTTCATGAGACAACAAAATGCCGCGAATAGGTTGCAAAAAGAGTTCAACAATTACATCAGGTGTGTTCGAGGTAAGTTCGATTGAAAATCATATTGGGATATATTATCCAATATATTTATATAAATATAATCTTTTTTAATGAATTGAAACTCGTACCAAGAAAGAAACATGAAATAAAATTGCTTTATTTACAATGACTCGTGCAAAAGCATTTGAATATTATTTTATAGGAAAATTTTCTTATAAAAATTTTGATTGCATTGAAAATTTGTGAAACATAATGAGTTATGAAGCAATTTTTTGTCGACGAAAAATCTATTTGAAGGAATGAAATCAACTCCCAAAATTCCAGTATTTCATTAAATTTTAAATAAAATTTCGTATGTACATGCCTGCAATTTGTTTTTACCACAGAATGTTAAAAATACTAAATTCTATATATTTTATAATTCAAAATTTTTGCTTTATTTTACATCAGAATACAGATTATATATAAAAAAAACAAAAAGTACAGTGAAAATTTAAATGTTAATTTTATTTTCTTAAAGTAATTTTACTTTTGGTAAAAAAAAATTATTCCATATATGACAAATTCTTTCATCATATTCAAAAAATTTTAAATTTTATTCAAAATAACGTTCAAATACTTTTATAGTAATGTATATCTTTGATATTTAAAAATATAATCTTTTTTTTTTTTTCTAAATAATTTATTTATTATCTCAAACATGCATGAAATTTTGCCAATATTAGCAACTATCGCTTATACTGAATCTAGTAATAAAAATGAATGTTTACGATAAGTTAAATATTTAACAGATGGGCACGAGGAATAAACCTTGATTTTCCGTGAATTGCATTTAGTCCCAATTTATCGATTTGCTCAAATACCTATTCATAATATTCATTGAATATTCGTGCTTTATTTTTGTACATTTTCTAAATATGTATATACAAGATTAAATTTCTAGCATATGAAAAATTTGCATGTACATTGTACATTTTCATTTTATTAATCATATATCTTGTTTTATTAAATTTTTCTATATATTTTTTGTATATTATTAAATTCATTGAATTTAATTCATTAAATTATTATGCATATTTAATATTTATAAAAAAAATGTATAATAATAATACTTGATATTATAAATTTATTCATATAAAAAATGTAAATTTCATATGTGAAAATGAATATTATTTTTCTTTTTCATAAATAATATTGGTAAAATATCGTATGTTATGATTGTCAAATTTAACAAATTTTAAGATATTTTTCAAGATCAAATAAGAATATTTTATTTATTATTATTATATTATATTTATCAAAATATTGATAATCTTAATATATGTATTGATATATGCCTTTTTTTTTTTTTAATTACAAGTTATTCAAATTAGTATAAATATTGGAGTCCTATATCGACATAAAAACCAGTTCTCGTTCGAATATAAATAAGTTCGCATTCGATAATGATATCGTATTACTTTTTTGGTATATCTTCAATAACAATCTAAATTATTATAAAATTTTATCATTAAATTGTGAATTATGTATTTATAAGAAACATAAAAGATCAAAAATCTATATGGAATATATAAAAATATTAATTATGTTTAAATGAAATAAATTATTATTTATGCTTTATTTTTTATCATATTCATTATAATATAAATTTGCATTAATATCCCCGATATTTATGCGAAAACATATTTTTATATTTTCATATATCTTGCATATCTTGCATAAATAATATAAATGAATATGTTTTTTTTTTCTTATATTCAATTCTGTTACATTATAGTTAGATAGAAGAGGAATGAAGAAATATATTATAAAAGATGATATTCTAAATAAAAAAATTATTATAATATCTGTAAAAATTTAAAAAATTTTAACTAATGCAAAATATGTATTTCATTACTTCTTATATAATGAAATTCAGTTTCCACAAACAATATTAATATATTGTATCTTTAATTTAATTAATTAAAGAATTTTTTTAAAGAAATATATTATTATATATTAAAATGCAAATTATAATTAGAATAGATAAATGTAAATAATATGATTATTAATATTTTGCAAAAATATATATATATAAGTTTTATTATTTAATATATATTTATTTTAAATGATATAATATATTTTCTATATATAATTATTATATATTTGGATAAATTTATATATTTATATAAAATTCCATAGTCTAATAACATCTTTCAAAAGATTTTTAGTTTTTAAATTAATAATAAGTCAGAAAAAACTTAAATTATGATAGAAGTTTAATATAAGATTATAATTATAAACATTTATCATTCTATCATTTTTTTTAAAAATATAATGAGATTTGTTATACATGTTTGTTATACATGTTTATATTATTTGTTTCCTGCAATTAGATCAAATCGCAGCTTTAAAAGAAAGTAGAAAAAAATTTCATTAAATTAATTTAAATTTAAATTTAAGTATTTTCAAGTAGTGTATTATTACTTCAGAAGTGAAGATATATCTGAAATTTCAAGGTTTTCTAAACTTTCTTATGCATATACGTCATCAGAGTTAGTATATGTATAGTACTATAAATTTCAATAAAAAGGAAGAATAAAAACGGAATGGAAAAAAGTTGGGTCAAAAAGTTTTTAAAGAGCTCTTATCAAAGAACTTGAATCGTTATATCTTGGTATATTAAGAATCAAAGAAATGAATGATATTATTCGACGTAATAATACTAATATATCTATATTGAAAGTAAGATTTATTGAAAAAGATTTATTGAACTTCTTATTCGATTTTAATTAATTTGAAATATATTGTTAAAGACATTATTTTGAGTAACTTTTTCTTTTCCATATCTTGTCCTTAGTAAAACGCAAAATTTATTGAAAAAATTATTATTAAAAAATGATTATAGTTTTTGAAATTTATATATTTGAAATGCTATATAATATCAATATTATAGAAATTAGTCTTAAGAAAAAAAATACACAAAAAAAAAGAAAATAATTTAAACTTTTTTCTTTATCAAAACAATAAAAAAAACTTTGGTTATATAATTAATAACTGTAATGACAACATACATAAAATAAAAAATAAATATACATGGAAATATTAGATTATTAATATTTGTTATTATGAATTCACAAAAAATAATGCTTATTCTTCTGATATTTTTGCCAATCAAATATAATCTTCTTCTAATATATCTTCTTTCATTTATTTTTGTTTTGTTTTTTCATATTTAAACTCATTGCAAAATATTCACTGACCAAAATTTCTTTCATCACAGTATTATTTTTCTCTAAAAAACAAAAAGATTAAATTGATATGAAAGATTAAAATCAAAAAAATGGCGACCACGCTTTCAGAATCTCCAGCGAGATAATCATTCTGTATTTTTTCCCCTCTTTTCCCTTTTTCATTTGTTAAAAAAATCAGTGCAATACTGTTAATATCATAAAACGATGGAATTATATATGAAATAAATAAATATTCAAACTCGACGATCAAAAATCGTCACAATTTTTCAGAAAGAATTTTTAATTCTATTGCAGATCAAAGTCTATCGACCATTTTGAGTTATAAATGGGACAAATCACGTCCGATACATAGTTTTCTGGTCGGTGATATCGGCGAAATTAAATTTACAATTCCGTTTACAATACCGTTGGAAAAAAAGTTGTGGACAGTGCGCTACTCCATTTCGTCAACAAGTTTCGTGGATGAATGACAGTTGGATGAATAACGTAGTAGACATTGAATAACGACCGTCGTCTCTGCGCAGGCCCTACGCGGCACTCGTAGAAACGTCAATCGTTGAGGGAAACATATCTGACATTTTAATAGTGCTGTTTCGAGAGAAACGTTTATTACGAATTACGAACATTAACGAAATCGGAGACAGGAGATAGGAGAGAGAATAGAAATATAAAATATCTTATTTCCTTTCGATTTGAAGAGATAAAAACAGAGCAAATAATAATATCAAACGAATAACTTTAAGAAATTTCAGTATAAAATTTAAGCAATTTGTAAAAATATCGATGAACACATCGATCTTATGATCTTTTTACTAGTTTCATTTCAAAATGCACAAATGTATGCTCCTAAGCAATTTGCATTAAAGAAGCAAATATATTCAGATAAATCACAGTTGAACAGAAAAAATTTACATATCAGGATGTGCACATACTTACAGCATCGAGCACTTTGAACCTCTTGTTCGTCTGTATCAATGGCGTAGTTTGCAATGAATAATAATTTTTCTTATTTTTATAATTTTACATTACTTCACGATAGATAAAGCCAAATTAATATTATTAGATAATTAAAAAAATTAATAATTAGATATTAAAAAAATAATAATATCGTATTTTTTCCATATTTTTTAATATATAGAACCTAGATTAATTCTAGAAACTAAAACATAAAAGTTGATGTATAAAAATATCACTTAAGATTTATATAATTAGTTATAAAAAATTTAAGATTTAAGATTAGATGAAAAAAGATATAATGATGGTATGATGCGAATAAAATTGTCTATACACTTGTCATATTATATGTGTCTTGCTTCTTGCATTTAACGAAAATTTAAATTGCTTATAACTTAATAAATAAGTCCCAACTAATATTTTAGCTTTTGAAATTGATTAAAATTATATAATCTGTCTTTTTATATTAAAATAATTATAATAATATTATAAATCATAATTTATAATATTTTTAAATTTAAACAAATTTATGATTAAATTTGTCCATTTTATTATTAAATTATATATTATCATAAATTAAATCGAAGTGTTATTGTTTTTTATTATAATTACAAATAGAGATAGAACAATAATTTATTTCCTTCAAAAAAATTTTTAAGTAATTATTTATCTAAAACATCATTAATTTAAAAAATATATTTTTATTTCGAAGTTTATAAAACTTATCGTATGAAAAATAAAAAAAACAACGCGAAATGATATATTTATGCTTTCCTTATCTTTCATACAATAAGTTTTATAAACAATATTCAATTTAAATATCTTCTTATAAAATAATTTTTTGATTTAAACAATTTTAAAATATTTTTATATTATAGCAAATAATAAACTACATCGATTAGCGCATTAAAAATTATACAGTTCCATTTAAAAAATTGAAATTCCATTTAAAAAATGAAAAAACCTACAGGAAAACTAATTACAATATTTTTCTTAATCATAATATATCAAATTTTTGTAAAAAAATTATATAAATACATATTTTTCCAGCTATTAAAAACTTTTCTGATAATATTAAATCAAAATAGTAATTATAGAAATTATAAATCCAAACAATAATTTTCTAATTTTAAAATCATTATAAACGATTATCCGCTCCTTGTTGGCAAAGTCCTCAATTCCTCCTCAACCATTATGATCGTAAAATTTGTCTACATCATTCATAAGCGATAAACATATCCTGTTGAACTTGTGTTATTGATTTATAGATTTTCCTTGTAAACTGTACTATTAACATATTATGCCTGAAGCGTCGTAAAGAAAAGAATTTCATGAAAAGAGAGAAAAGAAAATAAAAAAAAAAAAAGAAAAAAAAAAAAGAAAGGAAAGATTTCGTTACACTGACAGGATTTGCAATAAGGAAACGATCAGTTTTCAAGAATCGTGCCGCGTTCGTAAGTTTTCACGGAAATCCGTTTCTACGCCGATGCCTTTTACCTTTCCTTTTATCAGTCGAGACGGCACATAACAGCATTCGCACATAAATACCCGCATGCGCTGTACCAATGGTTGGCCAACGCAAAACTTGTCGATAGATACGCACGTTCGCGACTTCTTTCTGCTTTTTCTGATAAATCGTGTTGTTCAAGAATTCGCGAAATTCCATTAGAGAATTGATTTTTTTTTTTTCTCCTAAAAATCGAGAATTCAGATTTTTCCGATTTTGAAACTCAAGATATCATATTTCTCGCAAATTCTAAAGCAAAGCTATGTACAATTATTAAAGACATATTTACTTGTTATGCATTAGAGGAGAATCGTAAAAATTTGACGGAAGTCTAATCACGAAGCAAAATTTCACGGTGGGAATTATCGATACGAATTGAAAAATGCAAAGATCTTTTATTCATTTAGAATGTATTGTGTTGAAAAAAAACGTTGGAAAAAGAAGCATGGAGAATATTTATTAGATGACTAGAAAAATTTTGTTGGCTTAATTAGTGATAAAAAGTTTTATATTTGTATGATCTTTTCTCATTGTTATACAAATTTTATTTTTTTATTATAAAAAATATTTGATTTTTTTAAAATATTCAAATATATAACTTTCGTTTAATTATTTGTATAATCGTCATTATTCTTGACGATCTTGTTCCATTGTTATGACATTGAATTTTTTTACTATAAAGAATACTCGATTTTTATTCAAAATTCAGATTTTTCAAAGCTTTAAAGATTGGAATTTTTTATAAATAATTGCATTGAAATTTTGTAAAATGAATATGCAAGATTCCTTAAAATATTCCAATTTACTTCGTAAAGTGTACGATTTACATTACATTAAAACATAATTGAAACATATATTTGCAATTTATCAGAATTAATTTTTTTATTTACATTTTCAATTATTGATAATATTTCGCAGAATTAATTATTTCAACATAGGTTATCATAGTTTGAACAAAAGAAAATGTTAATATTTGATATCAATTTTAAAAAACCATGTGTCTGCACAAAATAATAAAATTTAATTCACTATCACAATAATAAAAAAAAATCATGATATTAAAAAAATATTAAATTTATGTTAAATAAATGACGAAAAAAATGATGATTATATTAATTGATCAAAACATTGAAACTTTTATCAATACACTTGCCATATTGTAATATATCGATATCGATTAGAATTCGTATTAACAATTGAATATTTGAAATTAAAAAAATTCATATAATTTTTCTCAATTCTTTATTTTTTTACTGATATTTATATATTCATTTTTTTGTTAAATTTTCAATCATTATTTGTTGCCATTGAATGAATCTATTATTTTATTTTTGAGCATCTATCCATCCATTCATTCATATTTTTTCCAATTAAAACTCCAATGAAAATAAAATCCTTCGAATACTTTATTTTAATTATTTCAAAGCATTCAATGATACCAAAAAGGATATTTTTTTTTCATAAACAAATTAATATACTCATCATGGGTTTCCATGATTTGAATCCATGAATAATATCGTAAAATTGTCATACCTCAATAAGTGAATGCACTTGTAAGCGAAAGTAGATTAATAAAGCGATTAACTTTAATCATACGTTTGTTAGGGAAACAAAATCATGTTTCCTGAATAAGAAATAGTTTCCTGAATAGAAAAATAAAAAATCGATATAAAAAAATTTTCAGTTGCGTGGTTTGGTTATGCCTACACGTTTAATTACAATTTCTCAACAATTCCTTATTTCCGACGCAACGTTGACGTCTTAAATGAAAAAGGAATTTAACGATTACGCGCTATGTAACCTTGAAGTTACTTCGACAGACGAGTTAGTGTTACTACGATTCTATTTCAAGTTTTGAAACGTATAATTTTTGATCTTGTTCCGAAAACTTAATTTTTTGAATATTTTTTTTTTAGTGAAGCTCGATCTTTTGAAATTCAAAGAGTTTATTTGTAGTTTTTATGATGAATCGAAGTCCAAAAGAACTATAATTGTGCAAATTATAGAAATTATGCAAATTATAGAATAATTTATATTCTGTAAATTATTATATTATGTAATTAATAATAATTTATGTTTAAATTGTTGACTCATTTTTATTTTATGGTTAAATACGGTTTATTCGCCCATTATCATTTCTGTTGTACTAATTATAAACTTGAGTTTAAAAACTTTCAGAAATTTATTAAAATTTTAATTCTTGACAAAATAGCATTTCTCAGAAAAAGAGCAAAAAAGAAAAAAAAATATTTCGAGATTTTCGAACTTTAAAAGTTTCGAAAAGTTTCAAAACCTTAACTTTAAGATTCAAATTTCACGAAATCTGAATCTAAAATTGAGAATTCATTCCTAATTAAAATTAAAACTATTGTAGAAATATTATGTAATTTAATAATATTTATGAAATTATTAATTATGTTAACAGCGGTGCAAGCAGCGTCTAAAACTCTCATGGATTCTTTGAACGAAATCTACGAAAGTCAATGGACTGGCCATGACCTTTTATATGTGCAAGCTCAAAATCTCGATATGTTGTGGCAAGATTTCACTCACAAACTTGCGGATCAAGTTCTCGTGCCTCTCAACACATATCAGAGCCAATTTCCAGAAATGAGGGTATACTTTCCACTCTAATTCTAAATTATCCCAAAAATTGTGTAGCTCTTTACAGAGTATTTAATAGAATTAATATTATTTTAATAGAATTAAAATTAATTTAAATTAATATTGAAATCCAAAATTAATATGGATTATAAAATGGGAATAATTATATTTATTGCAGAAAAAAATTGACAAACGCGGACGGAAGTTGGTAGATTATGACAGTCAAAGACATAATTTCCAATCACTACAATGTAATCCAAGGAAACGGGATGAACTCAAAGTTTCTCGAGGAAAAGAATTATTGGAAGAAGCTAAGCGTACATATGAACAACTTAATTCCGAACTTCATGATGAACTACCTGCCTTATATGATTCACGTGTTCTTTTTCTTGTTACTAATTTGCAAACATTGTTTGCTGCTGAACAAGTATTTCACACTGAAAGTGCTAAGGTATGTATATATATATATATATATATATATATATATATTCTGTAAATATATTGTATTTTAAATTGTAAATTATTCATTTTTATTCAATATTATTTTATGCTCCTATATTTTAGGTATATTCTGAATTAGAAGCAATCGTCGATAAACTTGCTAACGAAAGCCAGAGAGGATCATATACACTGAAGAAGAATACAGAACCTCAGTCTCCAAAATCACCTAACGCCAATTCTGCGTAAGTATAATAATTGAATAAAAAGTTTAACTTATAAAACTTAATTTATATATAAAAAATAAAATAATAATTTATATACATATAATTATTATTCAATATTATTATGATATATCATACTAGATATTTTATGTTTTAGTTTAATAATTAATACACAACCAGCTCAGAATAACATTTCACCAGGTAAATATATACCTGTTATTTATATGCGTCTTTTGTGCATTTGAATTTTTTGTGTACTAATATTTTGTGCATGAGTGTAATGTAGTTGTAATGCCACATAAGACGTTCCTGCAGACATAATTATGTGGCTAAATGTTTAGTTTGAGTGAGCTTTATTGCATGTTACAGCCGTGGATGATTCTGCTCCAGCAGCAAGAAACACATCACCGACTACTCAATTAAATGGCAATGCTAACAGCAATGCTAACAGCAATGATAATTCTCTCAATAATCAGGATGCATCTCCGCAAAACACAGTTACGGCCTCTAAGCGAGTAGAAGAGTTGTATGATATTCCTGTTGGTAAGTATTTAACGTAGGAGTAAATGTCATTGATTACGCGACGCTCGTTTTTAAAGATGAACATTAATATTAAGAATTTTTGTATAAAAATAATTTCATAAAAAATATTTTTTTAATATGTTAATAAATTAATTTTGATTCTGATTATCTAAAATTTGGACAATTTTATGTTTGATAAAAAACAATATTATGATTTAAATTTATAATATATGATATAAGAAAGTAATAGTATATATTATTGAATGAATTTCATTTACTTATAATTTATATAATAATAATTTATTGCGCAACTATTCTTTCGTAAGTATAATATACTTTATTGCATTCATACTTTTAGCAAGCATATATAAGCACATGTAAGCACAAATATCTAATAGAATGTAAATATAAATTATTAGTTTTGGTATCTTAAAAATAAGAATTAAAATTCATTCAAAATTAAAAATAAATAAAATAAAATAATTTTCCAAAATACATAATATGTAATATGTGAAAAATGTATATGTAAAATTTATATTGTGTCCATATAAGTATGCTGCCTGCCCATTTATGCATGGTCTTGTTGAAATAATGAAACATTATTTGTTTAATTCTGACTTTCAGTTATGCATAAAAATTTTTACACAAAAATTGTAATAATTGTATGTTGATTTGATCAATGAAAGTTAGAATTTAAATAGAACTATATCACAGGTCCATGACTAATGAGGCGGATTCAATTATTTTAGAGGTGGAATATGAAAATGGTACCAATTTCTCTCTAGGGGCAACGACTGACAACTTGCCACCTGGGGTTTTATACAGAGTGAAGGCTACTTACAAATATAGACGCGAAGATGTGGATGAATTGTCATTTGATGTCGGTGATATTATTCGTGTAGTAGAATATGATGATCCAGAAGAACAGGTTTATATTTTTTTAATAATCTATTTTAAAATTTATATTTTGTCATTTTATATTTTTATATATTTATATCTTGAGATATATTATATAAATATATAATATATAATATATACATAATTTTTGATATAATACTTATAATAGAAATAATAATATTATTAAATATATAATAAAGTATAATAATACTATAATTAAAATAATAATAAATATAACAAAATATTTTATTACTCTAGGAACAAGGTTGGTTAATGGGTATCAAGGAAGGTACGAATGAAAAGGGTATGTTTCCAGCGAATTTCACGAAACCACTGTGAAAGCTTTATTAAATTCGTCTATTACACTCCAATGCTCACTAAAACGGCGTATTCTATTTTAAGAATAGTTACAAGATTAAAAGTGAGAATCACACAGTCATCTGAGATATTATATATATATATAAAAAAAAAAAATAATTAATATTAATAACAATGAGGGGCAATGGGAAGGAGAAAGGGGTGTGATAAGATAGTTATGCTGGAGGTACTGTGGAAAATTAAACACCCCAAAGTGCCTTAACCCAGCCACTGTCTGTGCCAACATTCATTGTTTATAATATGGGATTATTCTCCCTGTATCCAATGTACGAATACACATCATTAATAATCAAATGAAATATTTAAGTAATTAAATAATATATTGTAATACATCATGCAGTACTATAATATAAATCTTATATATTAAATTAATATTATTTTATGAAATTGTACATAGAATTATACATTTTAAGAATATTTTATGAAATAACTTTGTGGCTACTGAAATTATTAGTAAGAACTAATGTAATGTTTAAAATATTATAATGTTTTCTTTTGGCAGAGAATCATCAAATCTTAAAAATTTAATTATCTATTTGCATTAAGATTTTGTTTATTGAAAAAAAAAAATTAAAATGAAACTTAAATTAAAATGTTAACATAAATGACAAATGCCAAATTTTCAACAACAAATTTTCGATAATATGTGTATAATGAAACATACAATTAATACATCCCTAGTTTGATACTTTGTTAAATACAATATGTTAAAATATTTAAATAATAAGAGAGAACAACAGAATTTTCTATATAATTCTATTGACAAGAGTATTATATATTCAATTAATAATATATACATATTTGAAGATTTGTGTTTCTAAAATTTTATTTATATTTTTTAATAATATGTATACATTATATTTATTCAGTGACTAATTCAATGATATTTTTCCAGTATACGTGTAGAAAATAGGATGGTGGTGATTAATTAAATTATTACTGCCTTTACTATAGCAAGAATAGAATTAATATCAATCAAGATAAACAATTTGTAGTGTTAATTAATACTCGTTAAATAGATTTATTAAGAAAATTTGACATCAAATTTTACGTAAAAATTAGTATTACGATAATAGACGATTATAAAATAGTACAAGGAGACTATTGATTTCAGCTTCCATTAAGTTGTGTGTCCTTTTATTTTATTGTAATGATCTAAGATACAGAACATAAGAAAGTTGGATTGTTTATAAATGAAAAGTTTTATGGTTGAACGATTGATCCATTGTCACACTAACTATTAACCCCATGTACAAATTGAAATTGTAGGTTAATTAAAGTGTGAAATATTGCAAGTGCATGGTTAAAAAAATATACTGATATGTTACAATTATGTAATTATAATAATGATAGTGGACAGACTAATATATGTTTGATATATGGATTAATATTTATATTCTATGAAGTGGACCAACAGAAAAATATATGAAAAAATAAAAAAAAATTTTAATAATAATAATAATAAACCAATAGTCATCAATGTATTCTGTTTTTAACTAAACGTAACTAGTCTAGTAATTAGACTAGTAATTCGTGCAAAAGTTCCATGAATTTTCAATTCATATCAAAAATATATATATAATAAATTTAATATACAAAAAAATAATAACAATAATTTTATGATACAACACATCATGCTTCACTATTTTTACAGTTAATTTATTATATAATTTGAATAAATATATAAGTACATTCCATTCAACTATTGATAAATAAATAATTGTTAACAAAATTTTATTTCAATAATCAGTATAAAATTTAAACATAATTTGTTTCATTGGGTTTGATATATGTATTTGTTATATTATACTATAATTAATACTTACATAACTTAAAAGTGAAGTATGAAAAGTGTTTATTTTAAATTATTTTATTTCGTTCTTATATATAATGTGCAACAATTAAAAAACAAATATCTTTAATATATATTATGAACGTGCCAAATTGATACAGTATTTTATATATCAAGAATGTGATGTCATTTATACAAATAATAGTCAAAAAATGAATTAAAATTTTGATATTATTTTAAAAAGTTATAAATGTTAAAAACAGAAATCTTTATAAAAATATTTAAAACTATACACATTTTAGCAATAATATAAATAGTGTTAATTATTTGGCAGTAGATTTATCAATATATATTTAATATAATAAATTATTCAATTTATTGGAAAATTAAGCAAATGCATTTAATTAACTTAAGGAAGATAAGTAATAAATATATCTCTCTTCTTATTTTTAATAAAAATAATGTATATCACAAATTTGATAATATTCTATATAATCTAGTATAAATTATAATTAAAAAATCATATCAAAAAAATTATACTTAATATACCATTTTAATATATTTATATAAAATCGATTTAACTTTTAAAAAATAAATAATTAAATAAGAAATTATATTTAAAAAATAATAATTGTGTCTACTTATCTTCTTTATGTTGTATTTATTTATTTATTAATATAACATAACAACATCTGTTAATATTAAAATTCTTAATTCACTCAAGTAATAATACTGAGGTCTAAAATTTAGTGTAGCAGTGGAACAATCAATTGTTATATCATTTGTCATTTTTATGTCTTGTTGTTTATTTTATCGAAACAATTAGTCATATCTTTATAACCTTAATATAAACTATAATGCGTATATATATTTATCGCTTTAATTGTTCTTTTCAATTGAAGACGATTATAATAAACAATTACTGGTTTGTAACATAAGTGTTTATGATTTAAATATGTGTTCTATTTAATATTCAACCTGAAAATTCCTTCCTTATATCGATCTATCAAATATTACTTTCTATAAGATAATAAGATAATAAGAATGAAGAAATTTCAATTATGAAAAATTTCAATTTTCGAAGCGTATTAAAATAATAATATATTTCTTTAATAAATAATTTCATTATGTAAGTAAATTGTTATATTTAAATGACAAAAATTAATATTAAAGATATAACTAGAATAGAAATTTATTTTAAAAAGTTAGAAAATGTCAAGATTTCAAGAAAAATATAAACGATGGAGTGATCCCAATTTATATAATTCTTGCTTTTATTGCACACCAATATCGGAAGAAGAAATAGTACCTTCTCTGTATCCATCAGAATTGTCATCACAATTATTTTCAACAACACAAAAATGTGTATCTTATAAAAAAACTTCATCAAATTACTGTTTATGTCGTAAACATTATGACGAAAAAATGAAATCTTATGACTCACAAAATGTTAAGGCAATATTTTATTACATATATTATGTATATAAGATAGAATAAAAAAGCTTATAACACATATTTGTATCTATTACTTATAGAAACTGAAATGTTTGAAATGTCAAGAATCTGAAAAAATAAGAGAAAATTTAGAATTACATTTGACAGGAACTCAAATAGAAGAATCTTTAGCAGAAGATAAACAAGCAGCTTTACTACAACATCTAAATTTAAGTATTACTGCTCTTGAAGCTCTTGCACAGTATGGACAATCTTTGCAAGTATCTCAATTAGCTGCATGTAGAGTGCTCAATATTAGTCATTTATTGACACTTCCTCAATCATATTCTGTAAATTCCAAATCTGATTCTTTACATTTAACAATGCATCTTCAACAGGTATAATGATTTTAATTATCATACATATAAAATATAAGATTGAAAATTGTAATCATAATTTGTATATAAAAATAATTACAATATATTTTTAAATATATTTTAATCGATTATTTATATAATCTAATATACATAATTTACTAAATATTAATATATATGTATATGTAATAGTTGGAAGCACAAAAAGAAAATAAATTAATTATCTTACAAGATTTGATAGAACATTGTTCGAAATTCATAACACTTCCAAAACATTTTAATGAATTGATGAATAATCATTATATAAAGAAAAAAGATTTTTATAGAGCAACAAAAAATTTCAAAAATTTTCTTACTAATTTTACATTATCTATATCAGAATTAGAGAAATTACATCAGCAATATGATGATATTTTAAATAATTATCAACAAAGTAGATGTATATTAGACTTGGAATTACCAAAAGTAATAAACATGTATGGTATAAATAAGAATTTATGATTTATTTTCAAAAAATTAGAAAAGAATTCTATAAATTATAAATAATTTAATTATTACAGACGTTTAATGGCTCTTTGTGATGGTTTTGAAAAGATTAAGAAATATTATAATAATACAGATGATGATAATAAAATTGTAATATTATTTAAATCAATTGGAGAAAAACTTCATAAAAATGATACAAATACAGGTAATAGACATATGATAAAATTATACAATGTATTTGTATTTATCATAGATTTATTTTTATATTTAATAGTAACAATTTCCCATGATGAAGATTCACCCAAACCTAAATTATGCCAAAAATGTAAAATAAATTATGTTACTGATGATGAACAATGCTGAAATAAACCAGAAAATAACATTGGCCTTGATAGTATAGTAACTGTTTTATCCTTAGTTTAAGAAAATAGAAAACACAAATAATACATTTCATGAAACCTTACATATATACTAATCCTATTATAAATGATTATAGGTTTAAGCATGCTACTAAAATCTAAATTGTAGAAATATATTTTAAACATTATATTTTATATTTTATTTATTTTCATTTATTATAGTTTTCATTACATTTACAATTATTCGTTTTTAATGTACAAAAATTTATATAATTTTTAAATGAAATTCATATTTTAGTTATTTGTTATAATCTTAATCAAATATGATCATTAGATAGACACAAATTGGACAATTGTTTCTATTTTATAATATTATAAAAAATATACAAAAAATTGAAATATTTATTAATTTATTTTTAAATTATATAAATAGCATAGTAAGTAGATTACATTACTTAAAGCATTTATATTTTTAATAATTTATTAATCTAAAAAGAAAAAATTCGAAAATTGATTGAGAAAAAAGAAAAAATATAAAAAGTTATATATTAATCATACAAATTAGATAAAATATAGCATTTTAAAAAATATTATTTAATTGTTTACAGAAAAAAATTTATAAAATTTATATTTTGAATGCAACATATCTTGAGCGCCATCTACTGTTAGATATGTCAAGAAATCTCTTTAAGGTTATTTAAATAAAAACTTAAAATAATTATTGAAAAGACATCTTAATTAAATGTAATACATTTAAATTTTAATATCTTAATAAATATTAATTTGTTATTTTATTATTTATATAGAGGTGAAATAATATATTATTTCATATATATAATTACATATAAATAAAAAATGAAACTGGAATTAAGTAAATATTTTATATTTTACGATTAACAATGAAACTAAATAATAGATATGTGTATCTATTATGAATATATTATATACATTACATACAAATAGAGTAATCATTTATGAAATGAAAATAATTATATTTTTAGAATGCATTTATTGTATAAATTTTAGTATCCATACAATTATGTATGTATGTGTGTGTATGTGTGCGCGCGCGCGTGTACGTGTGTATATGTTATAAAAATTAATTTATACATAAAAATTATATATATATCTTATGTTATAAAATTATAATATAAAATTATAAAATTATCGATAATAATTTTTAAATTCTATAAACTATGTTTTGTAAAAATATTATCGCTATCGGACAAATTCATGATTGATTCCACAATAATTTCAATGGTATATTTTCAGTGATCAGCAATTGACACGTATCATTTGGTGTACAAAGTGCATTCACACGAAGATACTTTGACAGTCTTTCAAGAAAGTACATATGTATATATTCTTCGATGACGAAGTAGAATCGATGGAAAAACACAACGTTTGCTTTAAACGCACCCATAACATGCAAGAAACCGGCGTAAAAAACGAAAGGGTAAGAATAGAGGTGAAATATACATGAGATAGAAAGAAATACAGAACGGCAGGGTAATCGGGGGTGATCCGACAATAAAAAAAGAAGAAAGATGATATGATAAAGAGAGTGAGAAGAAGAAAGAGATAGAATAAGAGAGTGCGCGCGTGATCACTTGGAGCGAGCAGCGACGGTGGCCGTGTCGCTGCAAACCGTCAGAATCGGTCGGTTGTACAGAAACGAGTATAACCTATATCCGAAACACCGC